GCTTTCTCCTGTTATTTCCTAGCCGCTGCATTTCAGCAAGGCAAAATCCCACCTACTCCATTCTCGGCTCCACCTCCAGCAGGAGCCATGATACCACCGCCTCCCAGCATCCGTAAGTTTGAATGTTTGATATGTCCAATTTGGGACTAGCAGAACAGCACTAGACTTCTTCGGGTGTTCCTCAGTTCATTTGAACTTTGCAAGAAATGTTCTTTGTCCAGAGATGGTATGGAATAATCCATAAATTCAAAGCGTTCTCTGAGCCTGATAACAAAGTTAAGTAACTGCTTGTCACACAAAATTGCCTATAAAATAGACTGTCACCCTGAGTGCTGAATGTCTAATGAAGCCACTTTAGAAATTTTACTTTTGGAGTACAAGGGAGATCAGTCAAATATGCTTTGCTTTTCATTTCATGGGGGAAATGATTGAACTCTTTGCCTAGTAAAGAATCCTGTCCTAGGATAGACTGCTTGCATTTGTTAGATAAACACCATCAAGGAATGGCTTCTGGTATTGACTTCACATTCACCTTTGGCCTCTGAAAAGCAAACTCTAAATTTTTAAAATTTAGTATGGACTGTTGTAGGACAACCTGAAAGGTGTAACTGAAGCTATAGAACAATAGGTAAGTCTTTATTGGCAAGGATTTTGCGTTGCCTTCACATTTACTAGCCTACACAATTACATGAATGTGACCAATTATTTGCACGTTCCACCAGCTGGCCCTCCGCGACCTGGTATGATGCCAGCTCCCCATATGGGTGGACCTCCAATGATGCCAATGATGGGCCCACCTCCACCAGGAATGATGCCAGTTGGACCTGGTAAGTCCTGCCCTTCAGGAATGTGACTTCTGATCCTATTCTTCCTTTGAATGCTACAGTGTTAGATTAGTAGGGCATTTGGAATACACTTTCAGCACTTCATTTTCTTGTTTCACTGCAGAGAGTGACTGGAAATGATGGTATGGAATATTCTTACTGAGTAACTGCAACATGTCATATTTATTGGCATGTGTTTTAGCTAGGGTCTGTGTTACCTCAGGATATGGGCTTAACGTGAAAAAGAGGTTAGCTAGGTTCATACTTGGGTGAGACGCCTTCAACGTCTATTGTTGTGGCTTTTCACTGTGTGTGCATATTGGGCTGCTGGCTTCATGGTGGGGAATGGCTTCATTCAGACAAGGTGTAAAACTGGCATCCTTAGCAACTTCTGATTATTCAAGTTCTCAAAGTTATTTGTTGCAAGGCTAGTTGTTAATTGTAGTGTTCAGATCAAATTCTTGTTATGGTAATAGAACTATTTCCATAGTCCTTTTTGCTTCTAGTACAACTGCATGCAATTTGCCTGGTACCTCTGCAACACCTTTTTCCAAAATGCTTAAATATATAATTTTTAAACGGTATATTTTATAAGTCTGCATAGTGTGAAGCTGTGTGTACTTCTAAATACCTGCATTGGGATAGACTGGTTTTGATGATGGGTAATTAGGTTCCTGTGTGTTTGAAGCTTGTAGAATAATTTTGAGATCTTTAGGAATATCAGAGGAAAGTAGGGTGTCTTTCTTAAGACTTCTAAAATGGCCAGAGAATTTGTGAAGTCATGATGTTTCATCCTGGCGTTGAGCATATTGACACGGGAAAGGTTGTAAGGGCATTTCTTATTTCAGTTGCTATTACTTTGATGTTCAAAGGACTAAAACTCTCCACACATCAGCACTAGTGAAATGTCTTTTGTGATGTTCTTGCCAGCAGTAGAGAAAAGTGGTATCCAATTAAGGGCTCAGTATTGGGGACACAATGTGTGGATTTTTGTCTGATGTGTTAGACAGCTTCGTTTGCACTAGTACAGGTTGGGGACCAACTAGTTAAGCAGCAGCTCTACAGAAAAGGAGCTGGGGGTTAGAGTGGACAAGAAGCTGAATGGAAGCCAGCAGTGTGCCCTTGTTGTGAAGAAGGCTAACAGCACTCTGGGCTGCATTAGTAGAAGCATTGCCAGCAGATCAAGGGAAGGGATTATTCCCCTCTGCTGGGCACTGGTGAGGCCACATCTGGAGTGCTGTGTCCAGTTTTGGGCCCCCACTACAGAAAGGATGTGGACAAATTGGAGAGAGTCCAGTGGAAGGCAATGAAAATGGGGCACATGACTTCTGAGGAGAGGCTGAGGGAAATGGGTTTATTTAGTGGGTTTGTTTTAAAAAACAAGCTTGAGAGAGTCCAAAGAAGAGCCACCCATATGATCAGAGTCTTAAAAGGCAAGCCATGTGAGGAAAGGCTGAGGGATCTGGGACTCTTCAGCCTGAGGAAAAGAAGGCTGAGAGGGGATCTGGTAGCAGCTTACGGTTAGAGTAGGGGAGTACATCAAGGACTTGGTAAGCAACGCTTCACCAGGGCACCTGAGGGGAAAACCAGGAGCAATGGCCACTAACTCCTGGAAGATTGATTCAGACTCAACATTAGTAAAAACTTCTTGACAGTCAGGGTGTCCAGATTGTGAAATAAGTTCCCTCCAGAGGTGGTGCAATCACCTACCCTGGAAATTTTCAAGAGGTGACTAGACAGTCACCTTGCTGGGGTTGCCTGACCTCAGTTGTCTTTCCTGCTTGGTGCAGGGGGCTGGACCTGATGATCTTCCGAGGTCCCTTCTGGCCCCTTACAAACTATGAGTCTGGTCTGCAGAAGAGAAGACTGAGGGTGGGGATTTGATAGCAGCCTTTAACTACCCAAAGGGCGGTTCCAAAGAGGATGCAGGTGGACTGTTCTCAGTGGTGACGGATGACAGAGCAAGGAGCAATGGTCTCAAGTTGTAGCAAGGGAGGCTTAAGTTGGATATGAGGAAAAACTTTCTCAGTAGGAGGGTGGTGAAGCACTGGAACAGGTTACATAGAGAGGAGGTGGACACTACATCCTTGGAGGTTTTTAAGGCCTGGCTTGACACAGCCCTGGCTAGAATGATCTATTTGGGGATGGTCCTGTTTTGAGCAGGGGGTTGAACTAGATGACCTCCTGAGGTCCGTTCCAGCCCTCATTTTCTATAATTATCACTGAGTAATGGCAGATGGGATGGAAACCAGCTCTTCTGAGTGCACTTTAGAAATGGTGCTTGGTAACGATTCATGGTTTCATTCCTGATAATGGAGTCATGGAATCATAGAAAGAAGCACTGGAAGGGACCTATAAGATCATCAAGTCTAATCCCCTGCCATGGGCAGGAAGTAATTGGGCTCAAACGAGCTCAATGAGGTATTTGTCCAGCTTCCTCTTAAAGACTACCAGAGATGGCGACTGCACCCCCTCTGCTGGAAGTGTGTTCCAGATTCTAGTTACCAGTACAGAAAATAAGTTTGTTCCTTATGTCCAGCCAAAACTTTTCCTTGATTAGCTTGTGCCCGTTGGTCCGCGTCTTCTGGTGGTGGCTTTTCTGAAAAGTTGCTCTCCTAGGTCCTGGTGTTCTCCTTTGACATAGTTGCTTACAAATATCAAGTCACTTCTCAGACTTCTTTTGCTCAGGCTGAACAGACTCAGATCCCAAAGTCTTTCTTCATAGGGCCTGTCCCCCAGAGCCTTGATTATGCTGGTGGCCCTTCTCTGCACCCTTTCAAGCTTGTCCACATCCTTCTTGAAGTGTGGTGACCAGAACTGGACGCAGTACTCCAGCTGTGGCCTCCCCAACACTGAATAGAGGGGAAGGAGCACCTCTGGATTTGTTGGCAACACATCTGCTGACGCACGCCAGAGTTCTATTTGCTCTGTTGGCGACTTCGTCACACTGGTGGCTCATATTCATCTTCTGGTCGATTGTCACCCCTAGGTCCCTTTCGGATGCAGTGCCAGTCAGTGGACCACCACCAATTGTACAGATATGTCATCTGAGTGGACCACCACCCATCGTATAGACATGGTGAGGGTTCTTCCTACCCAGATGAAGGACCCGGCATTTGTCCCTGTTGAACCTCATCTGGTTTTGTTCAGCCCATAGGATCAGCCTGTCAAGGTCGTCCTGAATCCTTGACCTGTCCTCAGATGTGCCCGCTTGTCCTCACAGTTTGGTATCGTCCGCAAACTTAATCATTGCATTTTTTTCACTCCCTCGTCCAAGTCATTAATAAAGATATTAAAAACCGTGGGCCCAAGCACTGATCCCTGGGGTACACCACTGACGATGGCCTTCCAGGATGAGGCCACCCCATCCATCAAGACTCATTGGGATTGGCTGCTGAGCCAGTTCCCTACCCACCTCACTGTAGTCTGGTCTAGGCCAGAACTCTCCAACTTGACTGAAAGAGATGAGATGTAAATTTAGCCATTTGATACTACATTTAATTGGAAGATGTCAGAGCATTCTCCCAGGCTTGCCATGTGTCAATTGGTTTATATGTTTTTAATGGTTGAATAGAATGAGTTATCCAGAAGCATGAGTTTTCAAAGCTAGAAAAGGAATTGGGAGTGGAGACTCCTGCGTCTTGTAACTTCAAGCAAAGTTACTCCTCCCTTAATCTGTAGATGAATGTTTCTCAATCCATGGGTCATGGCCTAAAAGTGGGTTGTGAGGATATATGAAAGGGTCACAAACAAACTTAAAAATGGATCAGTAAACTTTAAAAGTGGGTTCTCCTTTCAAAGAGAAAAACATAGGGAAATTAGGTTTTCCCTTGCAGGCTGGCAGAGTTCCAGCCCACTGGGTGTCGGGGCCTGGGGTGGGGGGCCGGCAGGTCATGAGTGAGGGGCACCAGTAGGGCCAGGGGGCTGTTTCCTTCTTAAACTATTTACTAGCTCAGGACTGGCCATCAAAGTTTACAAATGGGTCCTGGTACAAAAAAATTTGAGAACCACTGCTGTAGATGACAAGATCATTGGTCCTATTTGTAAATTCAGAAATCAGTTTCTCCAAGTAGAGACAATCGGACCTCTTGCACTAATGCAACACTTGAATTGATGTCCGAGTGCCCTATTCCAATGCTTTTGCTACTGCTTTATTTTTCTAGCTCCAGGGATGAGGCCGCCTATGGGAGGACACATGCCAATGATGCCAGGCCCGCCAATGATGAGACCTCCATCCAGACCCATGATGGTGCCAACCAGGCCAGGAATGACCCGTCCTGACAGATAAAGGTGGAAGCTGAGCTTCTGTTTTCCATTTTTGTTTCTGATTTTTGTTGTTCTTCCTACAGTGCTACCTACAACTCCAGGATTTTGCGTTAAAACAGTGGGCTGAAAAGACCTGCCACCTCTTCAGTTTGCAAAAGGCCTGATAGGGGCACCTAGATCAGGATTCATTGTAACTGTTTTTCCCCATTTGAAATGTAACAATAAAAGGTTGATGCTGGTTTAGATACAGAGAGTCTAATGTGATTTGCTGCCTGTTGTTTTCTTGGGTAGAATGAGATGTGTAGGTCCCTGCTGTCCCCTCACCTGTAGCTGACTGCTCTTACCCCTATGCCCATGGCATTCTTAAATACGAAGATGTTCTCTGCAACACAAAGTACCTTTTATAAAATTAAGAATGCAGCTTTGTTTCAATAAAACCATGACACATGAAAGGACTGCAGTAGTATCTCTAATTATCAGGGAGTCTGCACTGTGCAATAACCCTTAGTTGCTGCCAAGTAAGATAAATTTCATAAAATGGGCACACCTTTTCAGAGTGTAGCCCAAGGGCCAAGTAGCTGTTGTTTTTTGCAGTAAATTATTCCTTTTTTGTCTGCTGGGGGCGTGGGGGCTTGAAATGCCACAGTCTGTGTTATTCCTGTTATGTGGATAAACAGTTTGGTCACTAGAGCTGTTGAAGCAGCAACCACTGTTTAGCATTAGATTTGTTCCTTCAAATGAAAAAAGACTTCTGGAACAGACCCAGGGCCCTTTAGCTGTAATAACATGGTTTGGCCATGGGTCTGTTAGAGTAGTGCATTGCACTAAGACAGGTTGTTTTCCCATACGCGGATGGAATTGTCCTGCATATACTTTGCCTACAGCATAACTTTTTTTTTTTACTTGTATTTCAATATCCAGATCCAGACACCTTTGTATTTTACCAGACAGCATTTGATCAGCAGCACCACATCTGATTTATTGTTGTTGCTTGCTATGACAGGGCCTGGCAGGAAAATAATTGCTTGCATCATGGGAGCATAGCAAAAGTTATGTTCTTTGACTCTAGTCACTTTCTCGGAAACCCACAGACAAAGGACAGATGATAAGGAGCCAGTTCTAAACATATCGGTCCTTGGTGGATTGTGGTTCTGAGAAGTGAAACTGTCCAAAACTTGCTCTTGGTCTGTTTCTAGAAACACTGAATCTGCAAGTGCGGAAGAAGAGAGAAACCCTGTGGTCTGTAGATTGGTCCATATTAATGTTTCAGTGTCACAGCTTTTATGGAACTCCCCAAGCGGGACACTCACCAGGGGTTGGTGTTTTAGGTGTCAGTATGCTAGATGTGGGGATTCTCAAGCTTCCCTTGAGGTGAACTTGTAAAAATGTCCCTACCCATGATTTCTTCTACATGTTTCTGCCACACAAGCTCTGTCTCTTCCTCTTCACGAGAATGGAACTGTGCAGCCCCAGACCTACGAGGACCAGGACTGGCTCTGCCAAGACCCCTTGGTCACTTATGCACAACCGTTCCTGGAATTGACCGTTGTAGGTTTCAAGGCTGCTTTGCAGGGGATGTGATGGAGAAGGATGTAGGCTTTCAGGTGTTCTAAATGTTATTACTACTTGTGCCAGCACCAGGAATATACAGACCTTGACAAAATTACCATTAAAAAAAAAATACCTATGCACTTTTCCCTGTCTCAGATTGACCCTACTCCTTCATGTAAAGCCTAAGACTATCCATCTCTGTGGCCTCCTGCATAGGGCTTCCTTTTTGGAAGGTGGAGTCTCTCCCTCCTCTGAGACCAATATCCACTGCTCTTTCTCTTCCACTGCTTCCCGGGATACCTACTTATAAATTCCAGTCACCTTATTCATATGTCTCCTGATCAATCACAGCATATGATCGTAGTTCCCAACTGAGTGTACTGCTCTTTAGTTATCTTGGGGTTCAGACATGGAAAACTGGTTTGTCTAGAATGACTGCCATCCTGCTATTCAAGTGCACTCCATTAAAACGTAGAATCAAATTTGATGGCACTGTGACAAGTACAGGAAGGCTTCCTGTTGCCTTTTGGTAAGGAGGCAATTAAGGTCCAGGTTTAAATAATTTATTCTGGCATGCATGCAGGCTCCAATATGAAGTAAACACTCATTCATGCATTCACCAAACTGCCACATCTCACTACAAAGAAACTCTCCTTTACAAACTTTTCGGCCATTCCATAGAGCCCAAGGTCCAAGGAGGCCCTCTTTAGACTGACCTTTTGTATAATACGGGCCATTCATTTTAATTTAGCTACCCTTGCATCAAGCCCAGTAAATTGGCTAAAGCTAGAAAGGAATCTAGACTAAAATACACCACACGTGTTGGTAGTTTGTTCCAAAGGTTAATTGTCTTCACTCTTAGATGTCTGCTTTCTAATTTAATTTTTTTGGCTTCAGTTTCTTTCCAGTTCTGTGCTGCTCCTGAGTAAAATGAAAGGTCCTTTATATTCTGCTTTCTCCCTGTGAAGGTACCCAAGGTGTGTCTGTACGGTTGCTAACGTTGGTGGAAGGATGCTTTTGTTTCTGCTACCTTCTCCTGTTCACACATGCCAAACCCAATGACTGCCCTTAAGATTTCTGTTTCCGGTGGGCCTGAGAACAGCCTTGATGGATACCCACAGCACAGCTTCACCACTGTGTATTAGAGTTGTGTATGTGAGCAGGTGCATGCAAGTGGGACATGCTTAGGAGCAGGAACCTTCAACAGCACTGGGGCCACATGGTATTGAGAGAACCTTGCATACTGTAATCAAGTTACTTCTTGACCTTTTTAATAAGCTACAAACTATGAGCTCTTAAAGTCTCTTTCTGGGCACTTTCTCTAGCTCAAAATCAATTTTATGATTGTTCTCTCCACTCTTCCCAACTTTTCTGCATTCCTTGAAAATGGGACTTGTAACTCTGTACTATTCCAGTTTTGATCTCATTAAAAGCCCTATACAGCTACTATTCCCTTGTTTATATGGTGATGGATCACAGGAACCCTTTTTTGCACGGGATCATGCTGAGAGCCGTGTTGGTTTTCTTATCTATTTTGAGCTTTAATTTGTTTTACTGAACGTGAAAGAGTCCCTTTTCCCAGAATATGGTTTCCCCATTCTTGTTTGTAGTCTTTGCTCCTAGACTCAAGTCCTTTTTTCTTTGAATGAGGTCAAGCGATCCAGATTAACTCCTTGTGAGTGTTCATACTTTATCCCTAGTTTTTACTAATCCATTAGTCTCTGCATCATGAATAGATTTCATCAGCAGTGATTGGCCAGGATGTAAATGTTGATTAGCATCATAGCTGTTTGCAGAACTTCATTAGCAATACCTCTCTCTAGGTAATTCCCTACTTCTTGAGATTACTCGGGTCACCAGATTTAATCAATTTAACATGTGCTTTATTCATACAGGGCTAATTTTGTAATCAAAATGTTGCGTGAACATTGTATGATACTAAATCAAATGCTTTACATACATCTGTGTCATCTACTCCATTACCTCTGTCAATCAAACTTGCAATCTTTTCATAGGAAAAAGGTTTATTTGACAAAACCTAGTTTCTATAAAAACATGTTGACTGGTGCAAAGTATCCTAGTCTTCCTCTTTGAATCATGTAGGAGCTTATTATTTGCCTAGGATTGATGTCAGACTAGCCTCCATCTCACACACAAGGGCCCTGATCTTCAGGCACACAAAAACAGAAGAAGGAAAAAAAAAGTTTTGGAAGTGTTAAATAGATAGATACCCCCAGGGGTATAGATAGATCCATACTGGTTCTCTCTATAGCAGAGAGAACCTTGGTTTTAATTGCTTCGTATGACAGATATAAAGGCAGTGTAAGCTGCACAGAAGGCAAATTATTGTTTCTCTACATAGCTTGGAAAGAAGCAGATTTCAAGTTAGCTTTGAATATGGCTGGCATAGGGCTTCATAGAGTTTGGGGATTCAGCCACACAGTGAAAGTAGGCAGTTAGTCTCTTCAGCATAAATCTGTCACCACAAGTGGATTTTTCTTGGTGGTTTCAAAGCAAGAACAACAACAGGCAAGAATTACGTTTGGTCAATACTGACTGGTTTACAGGTCTGCTGCTACAGTCCCTATGTGGGCAAACTTCAGCTAGCATCGAGGTTGGCTTTTAAATCATCTCCTGTTTTCTCTTTCCACAGTCTTATTTTGCAGTTGTGCAGAAAAGGAAACAGGGTGGGGATATCTTGAGAGGTAAATTCCCAGAGGATTTAAATGGTGCTTTGCTGTCCTGTTACCCAGCTGAGCAGCAGACACTGACTGGCACCCTTTCATCTGTGAGAGACGGTGGATATTGCGGCCTATGGTGTGGGTGGTTTGCAGTGTTTCATGTGACTGAATAGAGCGAGCCAAGATTTGCATGATCTGTGGCAGTGGCTAGAAGCGTGTGTCATGATTGGGTGGTCAATACTGCAGTTTGAAAAAAACACCCTAATATTTTCCTCTGATTTTAGATGCCCTTCCCCCTATCCCTTATCTTGTCACAGAGGCATGTGACAGGAGATTGACTGATCAAATGTGGCATAAAATGGAGGCTTTCATAAAGCAGCCAGTAATAGATGCATTATCATGTTTTTGGTGCCATTTTATCAGGCAAAGCACAAAAAATAAAGTACAGCAAACAACCCTGTTTCAAGTATTTAACAATCCATACATTGAACCTTTGTGCTGTAACAAGGAATTGCTAAGTGGAACTGATTGGCCTCTTTTGCTGTTCAGTCTGAGCAGAGCCCAAAAGGTAAACGCAGCGGCATAGAGCAGGCGATTTAAAGTTACAAGTTCTTTCCATTTTCATGATCTCAGCTGTTATCAGCTAAAGGTGAAGCTGTTCTAAGAAGTAAACACAACTTCTTTATTTAACTTGACTGTCTCCTTTTGAGAGTTTGCTAGCCTGAAATTGGCTTTGGAAATGAGCCCTGCAAACAGGAGGTGTGAGACTAAGCCAGTGACTTTTTGGCAATAAGAATCTGAGCTTTGTCCAAGAACGTGAATGATCAATGTTGCAATATTGCCCAAGAATATGAATTGAGAACTTTGCTCTAATAGGTACAAAGACAGGAAGCAGCAAGAAGCATTGTAGAGCATCTTACAGGTCTGTATCGCACAGGATCCTTTTTGCTTTCTTTTTGCAGAGGAAAATTTAGCTCTTGTAATATTGATATCCTAGTGTGGCAGAGGACAAACAAACATTGTGGAGGCTGGTCTTCTGATACTTTACCAGTGATGATGGTGATGCTATTCTAGTGCTAAGCTTCTGGAAAACAGAATGCCACCTGCTCTCCATGGTCAAATGTGTTGCATTGTGATGTGGATAGATGTGTTCTAGAGACTAAAGGAGACATCCAGTTTCTCTTACCAGAGCAGCTGCCCAGAGATTAAGTAATTTTTAGCATATGCAGGATGGCTTCTGTGGTTAAGTCACCAGCCTGCGCTGGGAGATTCCTGACTCGGTCTCATACTTTCTGCGTGACCTCAGAAAAGTCATTCAGTCTCATTGAATCAGTTTTCCTTCTTGTAAAATGTGGACGCTCCTATTTTGCTGTCCTTACAGGGGTGCTGACAGACAAAGCATTTTACCAGTATTGATTAATTGAGAGTCCCGGTTGAAAAGTGCTACCGAAGAGTAAAGGATTGTAATGAATTAATTAATTAATTATATATCCTTCCCTCCAGCATGAGGGGGATACTGCACAAGATTCCCTTCTGTTTAATGCAGGGGGTCTTTTTACCATTTGGGCTAGAGGCCATTGAAAGATCCTTTCCAAAATGAAAAAAACAATACTTATGCATGTTCTGCTCCCATATTATACATGCTTATATTGTACAAAGCTTGGATGAGCTTTTTACTAGCAGTACAAACTGGCTGGATGGATTATTTTGCTATTCAGATCAAGGTGAAAACCACCTAAACGATCACTTTGATGGGACCAGGCCGCTGTTGAGTGACATGGCCTTTGGCATCTAGTACAGTGGTTCTCAACCTTTTTTGTAACAGGACCCGTTTGTAAACATCGATAGTGTCCCAACCCAGTGCTCCTCGCTCCTGACCTGCTGCCCCCCATCTATCCTGCTGCCCCCCACTATCCAGTGGTGCCCAAAGCACTTGAGCCCTAACTTCCAGCATGTGGGGAGGGCAGGATTCTTGCTGTGCCCACCCAGCCTGTGGGCTGGATCACCCTGTAGCACTACTGAGTCCGACCGGTGGCCCTTAGCAGCAGTCTGCAGTGGGGGCCCTCACCCAGGCCCCCCATGGGGGCACTCCAGCCATGCCCTGCCACGCGGGGTTACGCTAGGGTTGCCAACTCTCCTTGACTCTATTCCAGGAGGTTTTATCCCATGATGTAATGACATGAATGACTTTACATCAAGAAGGCAAATGCACATGACTATTACATTTAAAAAATCCACTGGATAACTATGTCAGATTCAACATTTGCCAGGTATCCAGGTTGTCACCGTATTGGTTTAGAGGAAAAGGCAATCAGGACTCGTAGTAGAGATTATCTCTTTTATTAGACCAAGATTTTTGCAAAAAAAAAAAAATCTTTCATTGCAAGCTTTAATTGCAAATTCTTTCATTGCAAGCTTTTGGGCTTCATCAGGCATTGGAGAAAAGATTGTAAAAGTTCTCCTGGGTAGAAATGAAAGTTTACATTTCATAGGATTTCACAGAGGGGTCAATAGATGGAAAACTCCTCTGGGCAGGCGGTTCATAGCTGGCGTGGAGCCTGGGAGGACCTGGGAGGATGCAAATGACCTTGAAGGATCTCAGGTGGTCCCAGTTGCTTTCCTGCTGGAAGATGTTTCATATTTTCCTATCCTATAAAAATGAGCTTTAATTTCTACCCAGGAAAACTGGCACAATCTTTTCTCCAATGGTGGGGTGCACCCGAAAGCTTGCCATTAAAAGCATGGGGGGGGGGAGTTGTGTGTTTGTTTGTTTTTTTGCAAAAATCTAATGAAAGGAGATCACCTCTCCTTTCATCTCGACGTGAATGAATGCCCTAGCCTGGCTCAGCAGTGTTTTGCTGCATTACCCTGGGGGCCCCAGGGCAGCCCTGGAGGGTGGCGGGGGTGTCTCTGCGGCTGCGCCGCGCGCTGAGCCCGCCAGGG